GCTGGGCAGCCCCGGCCCTCCCGGCAGGCACGGCCCGACCCCTCCCGGCTCGCACCGAAAAACGCTGCAGGACTGGAGCAAAACGGAGTTACGAGGACACCGTGTGACGGGTGATCCCAACTACAAGCATTTTAATTTCCTGTAAGACTTCGGGTGCTGGGAACCATTTCTCTGAAGGGCTCCTAGTTGGGGTTCGGTTATATTTTTAGCTGTCTCACTGCATCCCTTTTTCTTTTCAGAGGAGAAAATATCAAGGTAATCTAGGCCACCTCTAAAGTGTAATTGGATTTAGTTTTCTCCTCTACTTCGGACTGGGAATGTGGTAGTGCCTGATGTGCAACAAAGGCTTGAAAAGCAAGGAGATTCCTGGGGACTGCCCCCCAGGAGGATGGAGCAGGGTGTCATCCCCTCGGCCCTGCCCCAGCACCCCGCTGTGAGGTGGGGAGTGTTTCCAGGAGGAAGATGGTGGTCCGGTGATGAAGGGCATGAATGCACCGCTGGGATCCTGAACGGGACGAAAACACAGCTCCTCAGCAGCAATGGGGCTTTGGTGCAGCTGCCCTGCGGGGCCACATACCGTGTACTGCGCTGAGTTTTGGCCAAGGTTTGATGACGAGCAGAGGTGAAGACTCTTCTCGAGCAGTCCTGTGACCAACAAGGTGAAGACAGGACCAACCATCCCACCAGGAATGAGCACAGCTGCTGTCACCTGGAGAAAGAGCAAAGGGATAACCCCAAGGGCAGCAGGGGCATTTCTACCTGCGCATGGATTTCTTTTGGTGTCCTTAAATACAAACCTTACACTGCCAAAAAAAACCCCAACTTGGTATTTCTGCAGGGAAACAAACCTTCCCTGCAGGGCTGGTGCCCAGAGATAAGCGTGGCCATTACCCGCCACGGCCCCACACTGAACTCCCACACCCGGGGAGTGCTGGTTGCAGCTGGGCTGGTAGACAAGGAGGGGACATCCCATGGCAAAGCTGGAGGTGCTGGTGGCTGCCAAGGCAGCCGGGTGACAGCACTGGGGTGTCCCCGCTGCAATAAGTGCACCAACCCTGCCAAAAGGAGCAGAGGCACCCAAGCAATTGTGGCTGCGATTAGATGCCTACCCCATAACCAAGCAGCTCATCCGCTGGGGTGCGTGGGGCTGGGCACTGTGCCTTGCTGGCCAGGCAGCGCCATTTTCTGCCCAGGCTGGAGTCCTCAGTGCCACTTTGGCAGCAATGGGTTGGGGCCGGAGGACCAGGGTGGCCTAGGGAGAGCCACCGCAGCCAGCGCTGCCAAGGTCACCCCGGCTCGGCAACGGGAGCCCAAAGACAAATGGAAAAATCCAAGTTAGACGTGACGATTGCACATGGCTCAGCCTCAGGCAAGGAATAACCTTGCAAACTCTGTTTAAACTCTCCCTTCCTCATCCCCCCCATCAAGTGCCTATTAAAAATAAATAATTAAAGACAAAACATGTGGCATGAAGCTTCCAGACTTCTGGGTCGCAGAGTGTCGGTGTCACGCAGCCGACATGGGGCGAGTCCACCATGGGCAAGCCCAGCAAGGGGCTCGGGGGGCAAGCACCCACCCTGCCAGGTTGGCCCTGGGGCTCGGTGGGAGGCTGGGGAGCTGTCAGAGCGCCAGGGCTGCAAAAAACAAGAACAGCCTCACTTTGATATGTCCATGTGTGCACACATATACAATGTAAATAATTATTATAATGTAAAATAGAATTATTGCAAATAATTGAAATATTTATAGGTGAAAATACATGCATTATGTGTAATATGTATATGTGTATAAAGTATGTATTACAAGAATAATTAAACATTAAGCATTTATGATTATACTTACATATTATATGTTGAGTGATTATATTTGTATATGATTGTAATACTTAATAGCCATTTGGTTTATGTATGTCTACATATGCGTGTGTGTACAACATCATATTTATTATATAGACACACACATACCCCCCAACATAAAAGAGGGAGCACCTTCCCTTCCCGCAATGTTGAGCTTTGCCACAGTCCAACGCGGCTTAGCAGCTACCGGCGAGCCGGCCTCTTCCTCCGAGTGCCGCTAACAGCTCTGCTTGCTCCAGCCTTCAGAGCATGGCAGGCACTTTGCCTGTGCTGTGGGTATTTCATGCTATGGAGCCGCTGTCCCCATCCCTGGTGGCTCATGTGAAGCTGTTGAGTTTCTCCTTCCAGTGGAACAAAACTGAGTTTCAGTGATGGGGAGGTTTCCTTCCAGAGCTCGCTGTGCACCACAGATTGGGTTGTTTACCAGCTGGAGGATTAAATAGACTTCCATTGAAGGGGAAAAAAATATGTAAGTGTTTTCAAGTATGTCTTGGAAGCGGTGTCTCGCTTGAAGGAGGCTTTTCAGACTTGCTTGTGTTTGCTGGCTGGCACTTCACTTGTCCCTGGTAGGGATGCTGCATCTCACACAAAGTAGAGTTTCTGGAAAAATACTGTATTAGGATGGAGGCAGTGAGTGGAAGCTGGGGGGGAGAAAAATAAATGCTTTGACTATCCCTAAAAACAAACCCCTGCTCCCATCTCTCTCTATGGCTCGTGACAGCCCCTTCTTTGCTTGCAAAGAGAAACCCTTCTGCACCCAGGAATG